TGCTCCCATCAATGTACTAGTTAATATCAACGGTAAGAGCATCAGCTTCCAACTTGACACTGGAGCATCTCTAACAGTCATCACAAAGAAGGACTTTGACGCTGTCACAGGAGGATCAGTGCCTCTACAACCATGTCACAAGTGTCTAACAACATACACTGGTGACAATGTTCCGGTGATAGGAGAGTGTATGGTTCATGTAAGTTATAATGGTCAAAGTGTTAAACTTCCTCTTCTTGTGGTTGAAGGAAATGGACCACCATTACTAGGTAGGAACTGGTTAAGTGATCTTAAGTTAAATTGGGAGAGTATATGTTCATTGAACAATGCAAGAGAATCTAGTCTTACTTCAATAGATAAAGTTATATCTGAAAATAAATGTGTTTTTGGTAATCCTGGATTACTAAATGATAGAACAGTGAAGATAAGCATTAAAGACACAAATCCAAGATACTGCAAAGCTAGAGTTCCACCTTATGCAATGAGGAATAAAATTGAAAATGAGCTAAAGTAGATTGGAATCTAATGGCATCATAAAGAAGGTAGACTATTCCGATTGGGCAACGCCCATTGTGCCAGTGTTAAAGAAGGATGGTTCTGTAAGATATTGTGGAGACTATAAAGCTACACTGAATAAGCAAATATAGCTAAATAGGTACCCTATTCCTAACATTGAGGAAATTTCTTTGAATTTGGCAGGAGGAGACAAATTCACTGAATTAGACTTTAGTCATGCTTACACTCAACTAGAACTGCATCCAGATTCAAAAGTCTATACGACAATAAACACACATAAAGGACTCTACCAATATGAAAGACTATGTTTTGGCATATCATCTAGCCCTGGAATTTTCCAAGCTGTCATGGACAGTATTTTTAAGGATATTCCAAATGTTTGTGTTTACTTTGACAATGTGTACATAACTGGTAAGAATGACACTGAACATCTTAAAACACTAGATAAAGTCTTGAAAATAGTTGGTGAAAAAGGTTTAAAGATAAACAAAGATAAATGTCAATTCATGTTGACAGAAATTAGTTTTCTTGGTTATATATTAAGCAAGCAAGGTATCAGACCTCAACCAGAGAAAACAAAAGCCATTAAAGAAGCACCCAAACCTGAAAATACCCAACAACTAAGAGCTTTTTTGGGCTTGATAAATTACTATGCAAAGTTCATAGGGAATCTGTCTGGTAAACTATCACCACTGTACAAGCTGCTACAGAAAAATGCAACTTGGCACTGGGGTAAACAACAAGAAGCTGCTTTTAATACAGCAAAAGAAGCTTTGTCTTCTGACACCTTACTAACTCACTATGACCCAGGGAAAAGACTTATATTAACATGTGATGCTTCACCAGATGGTGTAGGAGCAGTCTTATCCCACATAGATAAAAAGGGTGACAGACCCATTGCTTTTGCCAGTAGATCTTTGAACCAGGCTGAGAAAAATTATTCTCAGTTAGACAGGGAAGGCTTAGGCATCATTTTTGGTGTTAAGAAATTTCATAAGTTTCTGTTTGGTAGGAAGTTCACCATCTTTACAGATCATAAACCATTGCTAGGTTTATTTGGAGAAAACAAAACCCTACCTGAGCATGCCTCACCAAGAATTCAAAGATGGGCTATCACACTAACTGCATACAATTATGAATTGAAATACAAACCTGGATCTGAGAATAGTGCAGATAGTCTTAGTAGATTACCTTTAAAAAACCAAAGCCTTAGCTATGTACCAGAAGATGTATTTGTTCTCTTCACTATCATGGATAACTCCAATATAGATGTGAATGATATTAAAAGAGAAACACAAAAAAGATGAGTGCTTAATAAAAGTATATGAGTACTGTAAGAATGGTTGGCCTGAAGAGTCTGTGAATGATGACTTAAGGCCATATACAATAAGAAAAATGGAATTAAGTCTAAAAGATGGAGAAGATGTAGTCCATTATCAGTCAGAGTTGCCTAAACAAAGTATTTGTAACTTAATAAATGATTATGGTGATATGGCAATTTCAAATGCTTTTAAAGAGAATACATTAGTAAGAAGGAATGTGATCATCAAACAACTTTACTAACATCATTAGCACTTACAGAAACTAAAAGGGTAAAATCAAAAGAAAAGAAAAAAGATTTTTGCCATTTAATACACCCACTTCAAAAACTGGATCACAGTTGCAAATTGATATGGTCCAGGATAGTACTTTTAAACAGTATTTTTGGGTTACCAGGAAAGCACTATCAGATTACCTGAGAAAATTGATCAATCAAAGAAATCTATGTCAGTCAAGGATCTGAATAATAGCATAATACTTCCAAATGCCAATTCAAAAATAGTTCCATTAAATCATGACAAAACATGCATTGGAAGAGAATTTGGTGTTAATGATAATGTGTATCTAAGAAATTATGGGAGAAGGGAAAAATGGATACCAGGTCAAATTGTTCAATGTACAGGACCTGTGTCTTATAAAGTAAAAACAAATGATGGACTTATTGTCCGTAGACATGCAGACCAGTTAAAAATAACTTGTGCAGATAATAAGTGTGAATCTGTCAATCCCACCAAATCTGAACAGTTCACACCAACTCAGTTTGTTCCACAACCAAGTTCTGTTGATATGAGTGAACCAAGTAGTCTGGAGTCAGAAAATGTAAATTCTGGAATTAATGATTTTGATCCTAGACCTCCTGAGATAGAGAATCCAGATGGTCAGAATCTTGAGTCACCAAATCAAAAGCCACTGAGAAGGTCAAGCAGGACAATCAGTCCCAAATAAGTTAGACCTATGATTTTAAAGGTCAAAAGGACTTTGACATCATTGTTTTGTATTTTAATTATGTTGTAACATATTGTGCATTGTTTGTAAGGATGTAATCTACCATAGTGTTCATGTTACAATATAATTGGTGATTTTAGGATACTGCAAATTGTTCTATTGAGAGATGTGTTGTGTTTACTAAGGGTAAAGGGATGTAATATAGTGAGACTTGTGAAGTCAAGGGAACTCACTCATCTTGTATTAGTATTATATTTATACTGTTATCTTGAGTGATGTCCCTTACATGTATATATATCTTTGTCTCTCGTCACTTCCGCTCTCTCTCGTTCCATCATGTAGTTGAAGGCCAATAAACGTTTTATATACAACCACATGCTTCTATCGTCAATCCATTACAGACATAAAGAAATTCTTTAGAAGTTCCACTTCGAGTACAACATCCTTTCACCCAGCAGATCACCATTTTTAATTTTTGTGTAGACCCAAAATGACTGATGTTTATAAGAGGACTTAACCGTGACGTCGCGTGCAACCTCACTATACACGACTGCTTGTACGTTGTTTTTATATTTTACTAGCTGTCCTGGCTAGGATCTCCACTGGCTTATTTTTTTTTGTAAAAAAAAACCCAAAAAAATTCTCTGTAAAGGACCGTGACTTGTTTTTTTATTCATCGTTATAAACCTGGCGCTGCTTGGGTCTTGGGAATATACTGAGTTTCCAATTACTTTATTTATGCAAATATAAGAAATATATTTATCCCTAAACCTAACTCGAAAACTAACCCTAATCACAACCGAACATTTACATAACCTTCTCCCGCACTTCTACGTCTAAAACACAACTTAAGTTGGTTTCGGTTAACTTCAAGGATGGTCTGATGGCGGTTTTTAAAAATATTCAAAACGGCTTTTTCACGGCTTATATTCAATACAAAATATGAAAATGAATGTTATCGATGGTTCCCAAACAGCTTTAATTTTTTTTACAAATGTAACTATAATTTTATCGTTTGCAATATTTTAAAGTTTTTAATTTTAAAAAAAAAAGATGACAAGGCTTTTCAAGCCTATTATAACAGCAGAATGATAAAGCGGTGAATACAGACGGTCTATAAGTGAGAAACTAAATTGCCCCAACTCTGAACCGGTGATTTGAAAGTTGTAAATAGAAATTGAGAAAAACCACAAATATCTAAAAATTCATGATTATATTTAAATTTTACTAAAAATTGCAATTTAAGAGTATAAAAAAGCTCAAAATCAGCATTCAGTAGGAAACACAGAAAAAATGTGTATTAGACAGAACGGCATAGAATTTTAACCACAGAAGGTTGGAACATTCTATTAATTAAATTGTATTGAATATCATATATAACAGAATTAAAACCTACATACTTCATATTAAACTTTTTTTATGTGTATTATAAATATTACTACACGTATACAACCTGCGCACATTACATCGCATTTAATTAATCGTAAGATGATCACCACTTAAAGTATCAAATTCCATGCAAATACATATTTGTGACTTTTTTCATTTGACATTATTTACTGTGACTTTTTTCTTACAACCCCCCCCCCCCCCCCCCCCACTCTTCTACATCGCTGGATGGTGCATGAAGATCCGATGAGCCATAGATTACCAATATACTTTAAACCGTGAATAAACACATCCGTGTAGAAAGGGTCAAGCACTATGTTTCCGTACAGGGTCTAAATGATTACTTATCAGCTATCTGTTTTGATCATCTGCTATGTAATGTAATGAGCGTGATAAAGGTGGACAGCACAGGGGACTAAACTAGTGTTGCCATTTCACATCGAAACGTTGGAACATCCTGTTTAATTCTATTAAATATTATATGTATAACGGAATTAAAACCTACATACTTCATAATAAATATTTTTACGTGTCTCATATATATTACTATACATTTACCACCTACGCACATATATCTAAAATTTTTACGTTACATTTGAATCGTAAGTTGATTTGCACTTTCTGAATATTCAATTCATAAAAGTATTAAATTCCACGCAAAAACACATTTGTAACTTTTTTTTCTGTGAATTTTTTCTGTGTTTTTATTTTTTGTGTATTTTTCGCCGTTACTTTTCTCCTATAATCAACTATAAGCTGTAGAAGTCCGAAACGTTCTAGTTAGATAGCTAAAAGTTGTTAATACCGAATTAACAAAAATAAAATAAAAATTATGAGCAAAATGTCACTTTTATTGAGAAAATATGTATCTTAAATATCTTAAAAACAACTTGAAATTTGAAAGTGAGCACAAACACTTCCATGTTTATAATGCACCAGTGTGGTAAAAATTAACCTGATCTGCTTAGGCGTTTTAATTTCTATAAAAGACAAAGCCAGTCCGTCCGCCCGCCGCAGACATACTTCGATTTTTATATGCATAGATGAACTAGCCGTCCCGGCCAGGCTCTGCACAAGCTTTTATGAAAAAAAAAACTATCCGTAAAGGACCGTGATTTGGGAATACATTACATTTCCAATTAATTTACATATGCAAATATAGAAAGTATATATCCCTAAACCTAACTCAAAACGTAATCCTAACCACAATTAACCACAAACACAAACGAACATAGACATAAACCTTCTCCCCTTTTCGCACTTTTACGTCTAAAAAAAACCAACCACATTAACACAAACACAAAAATAAGCATTAACCCTAACCCTCACCACAACCTTAAACATAAACAAACCCTCACCACAACCTCAAATATACACATAAATCCTCTCCCCTCCCCGCACTTCTACGCCAAAAAGATAACCACATAAACCAAAACCATAAGAAAAAACTCACATAAACACAAACATAAACCCTAACTCTTACTACCACTTCAAAACAAGCACAAACATACAAAACATAAACATCATCATAAACCAACCCTCACACAACCATAAACATTAACATAAGCACCTACACCTTTGCCCACGTCTACACCTTCATCTTCACCTGAACCAATTCCTGACGGATCTATGACCTATTTCCGAAAAAAAAAACCTTACCAGAATGCCGATTTCCCGAATGCAACAAACACCTAAATGGACAAATTTACCAGCCGATAAATTTACATTCCTAATTTTTTAAAACTTAAATAATCAACCAACACTATATTTAAACACATTTTGAAATTGAATAACACTTACATAATATCAATCTAAACTTATTATCAAACCCATATAACTTTTAACTATACCATAACAATAAAGGACCAAAAGTTACGTAACATAACACCAATTAATATATCTTATCAAATATTTTAAAACTTTATTACGAGGGACCTAAAGTATTGATAAATAAATAACAATTAGTAAACAATGTAACTGTGTTGAGTTTTTAATAATAACTATAAGCAGCATTTTAATTTAATTATATCCTCAACCACGCTTTTATCATTCAGAAAGATACATTTTGACTAAAAATGTCAATACCGATGGTCTATCAATAAGAGATTAAATTGACCTGGCACTGGTATACCAAGAACTAAAGTGGCGGAAATTAGGTCTTGAGTAGTGATAAAATAAATTATCATTAATTAATTATGCAGCCTTGAAGCGCCTTTTAAATACGGAAAAAAAAAACAAAAAAAAAACCCTCAATTTTAATAATAGTAGCATTTCACATTATGAAACTATCTAATGGTATTATACCCTCAATGTTAAATAAATATGCTATCAAGTAGGAAATACAGAAGTCTATAAATAAGATATTAAATAGCACCGCCATTAAACGCTGCGCAAAATATTAAAAGTATGAATACTTAAATATGGCGGGAATGAGGTCGCATATAGAGCATATACAAATATTTAAAACATTTTAAACAATTTAAAATTTCCCTGAATTTAGCCAAAAAGTGCGCACAAACCTTTCCAGTGTTATAATGCAACAGTGTTGTAAAAATTTACCAGATTCGTGTATAAGTTTGGATTTCCATAAGAGACAAAGCAGGTCCGCGGCATACATACTTTGATATAGATGTAGCCTAGATTTTAAAATTTATTTTTATTTATTTATAAATATAGTCTTAAACAGAATAAGTTAAACATTACACGTATAGTGATGAATATTATATGTTTTTCCTGAGTTAAAACACTACTATGTTACTGAATGTAGCCTAATACGTAAAAAAAACCCCTCAAAAACCATCATCGGACTTCATTAAAGCAAAATTAGTAGATTTGACGATTATCTTTCCTACGTTTCGCCCATCGTATAAAGCTGCCAAAGCGTCTGGAAGTTTGTCAAATCCTTCCATGATTACCTCACGATATTTAATTTTACCCTGAAATTAATATTTAAATGTCAAGTTATCTAGCCCTATCAGTTACATATTAATTAACAATGCGTAAAAAAGAATTTAGATTTAGGTACTATTTGATTAGATGATAAAGTTTAAAAGTGCAGACAATCCAAAATGTAAATTATAAAGTTACTGCAGCAGAGTTTAATAAACATGTATTTGAGTTGACATTGTAAACAGTTTTCTGTGCATAAAATGGTCTGGGTAACAGGAATAGAAGGTGCAAGGTGTACCGGTTACGTTGTTATAATAAATAGGTCAGACATTTGATGATTTATATAAACAGTCTGTAAGTCTTCTTGCGTTTCCTCTCCTCCGTCTATCTGCATGTTCGTCGGTCCGTCAGTCAATCTTATGTAGATTTGAAGCCGCTAAATTTAATTCTTCAAGATATGACCTGCATAGAACTAAGCTTACAGCAACTATTTGCTACCTGTTTTATCCACTCAAGAAGATGCCTTTCGGCTTCATTAAATCGAGATGTGAAGTCATAAACTGAGGCGCTGAAAACTTGACGCTCTTTGATGGAAATCATGCGATACGGATCTTGCTTCCTAGCTGCAATTATAATTATATGATACATGGTGTACAAGTGTAGCGCCTATGGGCATGGGTGGGTGATTTACCAAAATGCTGATTTCTAAACCTAATGTTATCATATTTAGCAAATAGAAATAACTCAGAGTAAGCCTAATAATACATAAAAATGCCCCAAATTTCATCCCGTTGCCATAGTGATGGAGTCCACAATGGATTTTATTTACCTTTAAAAGGTCGAAATAGCTCAAAGATGGCTTGAGCAAATTCAATATAAACTTACATGATTATAGAAACACATGTTGGAAACAATTCTGATAGATTACTTTTTCAGACTTTAAAAGTAAGTTTAATTTTTACTATTTCTTTTCTTATGCTACTTTTAAAAATCAAAATATTCTGCACAAAAAATGCACTTTTTTTTAACTGCAAAAGAAAAACCTATTAGCTTTTCAAAAATATCTGTTCTTTCAGTTTTATTGGCATATGTATACAGAATAACTGGGGAAAGTTTTGTTCAATTATATTAATAATTGAGAAAGTTATTTCAAGCGTTGTGTTACAAAATGTCGATATGAGAAAACGAACAAAAGGTTGCAAGCGTGGCTAAAATAAACCAGATTTGAGGCTTGAAATGACTTGCTAATAAACATATACTTATATACTTAGTTTGCAGCTGATTGCTTAATAACTTTCTCGTATGCGAAGTATGGAGGAAGTATTGTAATCGGGCAAAAAAATCGAAATCGAGATTTTCACAAATCTTGTCGTTTTACATTTCTTTAAGTTAGAAAAACATAGTGTTACGACTGTGGGGGCGTATATAGCAAGTGTAGGGTTGACAACAGACGTGACCCAGATTGAACAGGTCTAGATGGAGACAATCAACGAGGCACGTGTTAGAATTAGGTTACATTTACGGACGACGGCATCAATGGGGGTAGGTGTAGAAGACACGTATCTAGTTGGCCTGGGTGACCGTAATGGGGGTAGTTTATTAGCAGGGTCTGACAATTTAATCAGGTACCCCAGACCTGTTGGCGACATTTAATTAGGTTAGGCTTGAGTGGGACGTGTTGGTGCATAATTAGCCCCGCACCTGGACATTCGTGAGTCCGTTATTTAAGGAGGGGGAGACGGCTCAGGGACACACACTCACACTCACGGACACTCACGAGACGGAGACTCGACTCGAATAGCTAGAGTGAGGAGACAATGGGGCGTCTCTGTGAGCTAGTGGACAGCCAAGAGATGTCCGTAGACTTAGAATAGGATAGGCAGTTAGGGACAAGTAGGGTAGTCGTACTAAGAACTTTAGTTGTTGTAGCTAGTTGTGTATATTTCTGATTGTTGTACTTTGGTGGCGCATTAACTTTAAGTGTTGTAATTTGTGGAAATAAATAGAGATCACTGAAGTTGGCGTTTATCTATTTTTATTTTTCTGCTTCTTGTTTATGATTCCCTGACTAGTTCGAAAGGATTAGAGAAGGGGGTCGTAACAATAGTTTTGCAATTTTGTCCGCAAGTCTCTGTGTGTGTGTACGAGTGCGTATGTGTGTGTGTGTGATAACTTGAGTACCGTTACAGCTAGGTTGACGAAATTTCATATATAAATATTATATCAAATTTTTAGTTCTGTATCACTTTTCAGCGATTTTCCGGTAACCGAAAGTGGCGCTTATTCTACTTTCAAGTTTTCAAAAGCCTATAACTTGAGTACTGTTTCAGATAGATAAATGAAATTTCACATGTAAGTAAGAGATCTAATAATTTTCTACCTTTGGTTAAATTTTGAGTAATTTCCGTTGTCAGGAAGTAGTAATTTGCGCTATTTCCGATTTCTAAAAAAAACCGCATGTAAATTTATAAAGTACTAATAATAATATTTCGCACTATTATACACATTTTGTTTGGCGAACACTTAGTGCGCAATTCTTTTTTCTACGAGATTCTATTCTATTTTAAAAAGTTTAATCAGTTTGATTAAAAATTATGTCCATACCCTGAGTTGCCATCCCCGTAGTGTTATTCAAGAATATTAAAGTTAATGAAAGATCGCTCCCGTATTTTATCTCTATATGCTTTTACTAAATGAGGATCAGGAAAGTCATTATCAAGCAGAGGCGTAGCGAGGGCGAGCCGGAGGTGTGGACCGCACCGGTTGACACCTTTTAGGGGGGGGGGGGGGGTGACATAATTCAATAATTGCAAAATTTACAGAAGAAAAATGCCAATTTGCCAGATGCATTAGTGAGTAATTAAAATTAAATTGTCTTTTAAATACAAATCGACAATTATATCAAGTGGGTGGGTGGGTGGGGGGGGGGGGGGGGGGGGTGACACCATGACGTAAACGTGCTAACTAAAAATAAATAATGCTTATTACACTATTTAAATAGGGACGATACGTCATGGAAGAGATTTAGAGTTTTGCCTATCACAACATAACATCCCATGCAATTTTTTTTTTATTCTATGCAGTAGTGTGTGTTAGTTACTGTAGAAAAATCACTCCTTAGGTAGATCTTAAAAAAAAACAAACAGTTAATCAAGTTCCAAAGAAAATTATTTTGTTGTTTTTAGTCGGATTTTGAGCCCCCTAAACTGCCTAGCCCTACCACCCCACCCCCCCTCATTGCGGGTTCTTGCGGCATGGTACTTTGGGTACCTCATTACGCATTTTCCCAAATGTACTTAACATAGCAGTACGGGGGTGGGGAGTTTAACTTATTCACCATTGCACGGTTATTTTAGGTCTATTGTCTTAACCAGCATACAACTCGGCGTGCCATTAATGTCACTTAACACCATTACGACCTGACCCGTTCTTGTGGTGAGGTGAGTGTGTAGGGGGGGGGGGGAAATAACCAACTCAGATAAAAATATAGTGTCACTTTTTAGAAGACAGTTCTAAACATACATACATACACACACACACATATATATATATATATATATATATATATATATATATATATATATATATATATATATATATATATATATATATATATATATATATGAAAACCTCATAGTGAAACCTCATAGTGGCTTTCTATGTCCAAAAAGTGTTTCAACATTGTAATTAGATCTAATATTCTAATTTTACAAATTAATGTTCAGTTACATTACTTTTGGGCAGCCGTTTTCCAGCCAAACTTGAGGCTCTGGTTCAACCCCATCAAACATTCAGAGACTTACTAGGGACACATATACTAAGGGACGAATATTCTTCGTTACCGAATGTAGTTTGACGTCCATATGAATCGACATAGCCACACATGCACATCGTTCCGTTATTTTTCATATTTTCAAGAACACCTTCTGTAAACTGAGATCCAACCTTGAATTTTAAAAAACAATATATTATATCACATTTTATGTTTATAAAATGTTTATATTATAAAAAGAGCTAAATGCTTTATAATGTTCATTTAAAATTTAATAATTCTGTGTATAAATAGATATATAAATTATTGTGTCAAAAATATTGACTTTAGGCCACTTTAGGGAAATCTGCTGAACTCAACACTTGCATGTCGTTTCAAAATAACAGTGGTCGAACAGACGATTGATCATTAACAAGATACACAAAGATTCATCGATAGCCTTACTTAAAAAGAATCGACCTTTAAAAATTTATTTTCGCGATCAACTAAAAATTTAAAGAATTTGTGGGAAATAAAACAGACTAGACAGACAGGTGTGCAAGTGTGCAACATGACTCTTTTTTAGGCTGACGAATGACATTAGCCACTAACCATTTCTTGTCAGTTTCTTTCAGACTTTTTTTCTCTGGGGGTGGCGAATTGAAACATATGTTGGTGGGCACTATCAACTTATTTTCGAAGTATTAATAATTATGTTATAGAACTTTGAAATCAAGAAGGGGGAGGGGGGGGGGGCAAGGCAAATAATTATAACGAGCCGACCCGCGGCGTATCATACGCCACTATTTAGTGGTTTTATTTCTACTTTTCAGTAATTAATTATTTGTGAATTCGACAGTACCAATGCTGCCTCTGAAAATATTTGCTTTAAAACACTAAAACACTCATCCCCCCGCCCCCCCCCCCCCCCCCCCCCCTCGAAAAAATTCTACCGCCCCCCCCCCCCCCGAACAAAATGAAATTTATATAATTTATATAGAAAATATATACTTTTAACAGTGTCCGCCCCCCCCCCCCTGAAGAAAGTCTACCGCACCCCCCCCCCCCCCTTCCCCCCCCCCCCGAAAATTTTAAGTGCCCCCCGTGAAAGCAGCCTCCTCTTAGTTACCTCCCTAAGTTTAAAATCGTTTCAAACTAAATTATTTGCCCCTAATAGCCGTCACTAAACCCGGCTCTACGATTGTAAACATTTAGCGTGAACCACAGCTCACCAGACCATGTGGGGTGGGGGTTGTAGCGATATGCCTAGGGAGGAAAATATTTGTTGGTAACTATACTTTTAATACTCTATAATATTTTTCCACTTACATTTACTTACATTTACAACATTGATATAAAAGGTTACATTTTATATTTAAACACAAAAAAAAGAATTGAAATTTAATTTTTTTGCAGCCTTTTTTGATAGTTTTATGCATTTTATTGTTGTACTTATTTTTTCAGTTAAAAGAGAAGCAACACTAAATGGACTAAAACAATTAACACTATTCCTGATACTTTTGATGAAAGCACACAATATCTGTAATGGTTATTCATTCTCCAGAAACCCCCAATTTTCAGAAATTTCGAAATCCTACTAAAACGTTCAATTTTTTAGATGGCTGCCGTTGTCATTGTTACCACGATTAACCTATCAAATTTGTAGAAAGTTATAGATAAATAATTGTTTCCTGTCATGTAGGCCGATATATATATATATATATATATATATATATATATATATATATATATATTGAATATTTTGAAGAGTAACACACAAGCTAAATATATAGGCTAACTCAGGAGAGGGGGGGGGGGTTACATATGGCCCATGGTGTCGACCCAAGAGGTGCCAAAATGGTTTGAAAAGAAGCTCATTTTAGCTGCAGTTTTGAATTATAAATATAAAAGATAAATGAGTGTGGGGGTGGTGGTGGTGGGGGGGGGGGGCGCCAATTTGAAAGTTTGTCCACGGTCGCCAGGAGGGTCGCTACGCCTCAGACTGTATTGTGATTTTGGCCTACATTGTGCTTTGTTCTTTTGTTTTCTTCAAAGAATACTTTTGAATGTGTTAACGCTGTAGCAAAACAATGACATCCAGCTAGTTTATATCTATATATATCCATCTATATCCATCTATATCTATGTCAATGTCTATACCTATACCTATTGTTACGATCCCAGGGGGATCTCTACCTGAGTTAACCCTATTAAAGGTGTAGGGGTGACGATAATTGTGTTAGATTCTAATTACTGGTGACAGCCTTATTGACCTATGTGACCTTAGGACAGTATGGCGTTCGGATCGGAGGAAAATCTAGGAAGTTATCAGTAGGGTCTGACCTTTTAATTAAGTACCTCAGAACTGTGGCGACGTACGAATTAGGTTAGGCTGGACAAAGAAAGGAGACCGTTATTTAAGGAGGGGTAGACTGGGGGACAGACAGTCAGAACTCGGAACACACATGGAGACGGACTCGGATAGCTAGGTTTAGAGGAGACAGACATGGGTCGTCTCTGTGAGCTAGTGGAAAGCCACGACATGTATTAAACCTAGGCTAGGCTAGACAGTTAGGGACAAGTAGGAAGTCGGACTAAGGACTTTAGTTGTTGTAGCTAGTTGTGTAGTTTTTTCTTATTGTGTTCCATGTGGTGGCGGGTTAGTGTTAGGTGTTGTATTTTGTGGCAATAAATAGAGATCACTGAAGTTGGCGTTTATCTATTTTTATTTTCTTCTTCTTGTTTACGATTCCCTGACTAATTCGAAAGGATTAGAGAAGGGGATCGTAACACTATATATATATCTACCTACCTACCAACCAACCAAACTACCTACCTACCTATCATATTACCTACTTACCTACGTACATCCCTCCCTACCTCCAAACCTCCTTTCCTCCCTCCCTCCATCCTTTTCTTCCTCCCTCCCTACCTACCTACCTACCGAAAAAGCGTTTATTGTTATAGCAAGAACGCTAAAGACAATGATGTCATATGTCACATGTTTAAACTAGGGAAAGTACACAAAACTAATGGCGTAATCTTCTAATTTTAAAATATGAAGAAATGAACTATTTAATTCAAATTTAATTTAGATTCATGAATTGTATACAATTTTCTCGGCCAAAAAAAATACATATTAATTTAAAAAACAACATAAATACCATTAAACAGCCGGGTTTTATCAGATCATTTAATTCTCTTAATCAGTGTGTTCATTTAATATGGTGTTGTGTTGACTAATTATATAAAAAGCAATGTATGTGTGTGTCTGTGTGTGTGTGTTTTATGCATTACTACACCTTTCATCCGATCGCCATGAAACTTTGGGAAGCTGTTGAGAATACTGCGAAAAAAAGGATTTCAAATTCGTAGGGGTGGCGCGCCGGCAAGGCGGGATTCGATTCTTCTCTATATACGGTATATAAAAATAAAAGTCGATTACGGCTTGACACCGTTCATCCGAAAACCATGAAACTTATGGGACTAGATGAGAATACTTCCAAAAAGATTTATGCGAAAAAAAATGTATTAAAATCTCTTATGGGCGGAGCACGGGAGGGTGCGATTTTCGTCAATACACAATTTGGCGCCCAGAGTTACAAAGCGGTTATATTAGCACTTGGCATTTGTTAATCGGGCGTCCTGAATAGCAGGTAAGGGGTACTACTATCTTGAAACTGCAACAGGCGCAACCGCAGGTGCCCCTGCGATTGCGCGACATGAAGCATCTCGGGCTCCCCTACGAGCACTATGGCGCCTACATTCGTTTTAAAAAAAGGCTATACACTAAAGACACGATAGGCAACAATAATCCTTTACTATATGGAATTAGGTGCTTCTTAGGGCGCCCCAGCAGTATGAGATTAGCGTCATGGGCTTTCCCATGAGTGCAATGGCGCCTACGTTCGTTCTAAACAGTGCGATAGACAATGGATAAGATGGGGCGTTATATCGCCCCGGGCTATCCAATAGACTATGCATACGATGGGGCCTTATATTCATTCACAAAATTGAATCAAGCGTGCTCGCCAGCGCCCTCGGTTATCCTACGAACAGCATTGTGACTACATTAGTTTTAAGGAGCCAGGACAGAGGACGGCGCCCCTGCGGTAGTGTAATCGGGGGCTCTCGAGAGCGCCCCTCTACGTCCCTGACACCTGGACGGTTACCTGTGTTCTATTTCACTATTACGGCAGTTTAGGGAAACACATGCCCCGATAAATATGATCCAAACGCAGGCATTGTGTACATTTAAATAACTAAGTGTTAGAAAACAAGGTCACACGTCTAAGAATATAATATTAGTAACGCTGGGCTGGGAAAAAAAATTAAAAGCTGATTTTATGCTGCAGTTTTGCATTATAAACTGTCTAAGTTAAGAAAATTCATGGCTACACGCCTTAACATACTAATTTAACTGTTTCCTACCTTGATTATTAAATGTAAAACATATACTCTTACGAAACAGTGACCGACTAATTCGCTTTCAAGCTTTTCCTAGATGGGGGGGGGGGGGCGCTTTTTTGAGACTAAAAATAGGAAGAATTTACACTAGATTGGTGATTCCATAAACGTTACCACATATAAAAACAACCATTTGTATTTAAACGTATTGTACTATTGAATCTGATGGAGTCAGGGATATCCGGGGAATTAGGACAGTTTGTGCGGTAGCAGCTGCGATAGTTTTACACTCCAGTAAGTTGCTGTGAATGCTGGTAACAGTCAGTCTAGTGCCATTACAGAGACCTCTTGCTGTCATGAGGTTTCTAAGAAGCATGACGACTGAACCAATTTTAATTTTGAGTTTATGCGGAGGCATGCCAGTAGGGGTGAGACTGTTTTAAGAAATTCTACGGGGAATGAAAGTTCGTCTGCGTGATCGTCTGTGACGATGGAGTCAACGCTGGTGAAAGTTACTTCGTCGGTTGGGAAAAGTTTCAATACTTGTTCATTCAGGTGCAGGGAGTCTTCGTTCGTGACACTTAATATAGCTCGCGTACTGAGTTGTTCCGAAGTGACAGTTGAGAAGTCGAGGCCGCCATATAGTTGTTAAACGGGATCGGAATGAAGAGGGAAAGAATGTGAAGGAAATGTTACAGGTGTTCTAATTGTCCTGTCTCCAAAATCGAGAAGCCATTTTGAAAAATGCTGTGCGTCTGAAAGAGCTCTCATATTTGTCGTCAGTGTA